CACTGCCCATGTTTCTGCCCCAACTTTCTAGAGCAAATAGAAAGGTCCGTTAGAAGGCTATTGACTTCCAGAGAGTGACTTGGGAACTGAGTAGGGAGTTTCAGGTTGAGAATGGGAAACAGCAGGAGTTTATTGAACACTGGCAAGAAGGTAGGGACTAGTTGCCTCAAAGGGCACTTAGAGCTATTATCTCATTATCTAAGCTAAGAGCCACAGCCTGGGCCAGAACCTTTCATCTCTGTGGGCTGTGCCCATTGAAGGCAAGGAGAGTTGTCAGGGGCACGAGAGAGTCTGGCTGCAGTTCTCAAGTATGTTGCTGTTCTGGGGGAAATGTTCACACCACAGATAACTAGGTCACTTATACCCAAAAGATAGGTCTAACAGAAATCTGGGAGAGGTGGCCACCTCCCTGGCATGGCTTTAGGACTTTTGGTGTGAGAAGGTATGTGGGCAAGAGGCCTCCCCAACTGGACTTGTGGTGCCTGGGATCCTAGCATCAGAAAGCCACGCTTTGGACTAGGGTTCTATGCCACAGAAGGCCCTTACCTGACTAGAAATTTCTTCCTTGGATGCACTAACACATCACGTCATTAACAGCCATAGAGAAATTAGCATGAGTACATTGGTCAGCTGAACTCTTGTCACTTGCAGAGAAAGTCTATTAATCAGTGGAAATGAAATGTGGGACAGGAAAGTTTCTGTGGAGGTGTAGAGGCAATTTGGGACAGAGAGATTAAGGCTTTGCTCCCGCCAGGGAGGGCAGGGGTAGAGAAGTGACACAGTGGGGAGCCCTGGGTAAATAAAAAAGGGGTGTTGGTGAAGAGGAGAGGGTACAGAGGGGCAGATATCTCACTTAGTCAACCTTATAATGTTTCCAAGAAATGAATTTCTCTGTATATAGCACCAAGAGCAGAATTTTCAACTTTGTATTAATGAAACAACGTGGTATTTTGGTAACAAAGCAAAGTGAAGACTGCAAACACAAAACCAGACCTTTCCTGGCAGACAGAAATCCACGTGTAGCCAACAAAGCCTTGAAATCCATTAGCTGTTTCATAACTTCAGAGGCAATGTTACCCTGATTGCACCACAAATCTTTTAAATGACCTCAACTGTGTAACCCATTTCTCAGCTTCTCACTTACCCCTGCCTTTATAGAGTCACATCATTTGTGTATTTAGCTTATTCGAGTGTAATTAGAGGTGTTCCCTTCTGTCTTCCATTTCTCTCTAGTGTAATTTAAAATATTCTAAAATTCGATTTCACAGTTGTAATTTCTCCCTACAATTTTTATTATGAAAGCAATAGATGATTATTTTAGAAAATGAGGAAATACACAATAGATACTTTATTGAATATTTTAAAGAACTGTACCTCATGGTTTGATTTACAAACTGGGTTCTCTCTCTCCCCTCATTCTTCCCTTCCTGTCTTCTTTCTTCCTTTCCTTCCCGCCTTCCCACTTTCCTTCTTTCCTTTCTTCCTTCCTCCCTCCCTTCCTTCCTTCCCTCCTTCCCTCCCTCCCTTGTCTCTCTCTCTCTCTTTCAGTCCAACAACAAAAAAGGACATGGGCTTACTCTTGATGAATCAGTAATGGCATTGGGAAAACACTAAATGTGTCCCCAGGCTTCTGCTATGTACCCCCTGTAGGCACAAAGTATACATCTAGGGGTTAACCAATTGTTTATTATCACACTGGAGAGAGGGGCTTGGGAAGGTATATAGCAGACCCAGTGAAATAACAATGGAGAACACGTATGTTAAGTGCCAAGTGAACGGCATGGACCAAAGAGTTCTGTGGTTGTTCAGAGGTAGGCAGGATCTCTGCTCCTCAAAACTGGTTCTCCTCCTGCCCAGTCACCTTAGTACACAGTGTTATCATTTTGCCCAGTCTCTCAAGCCAAAAGCCTAGCATTCATCCACGAAGCCTTCCTCTCCCTCATATCCCACAGTCAACCTGTCCCCAATTTCTGTTGATTCTGTGTCCAAATTGTATTTCAACTCCATCCACTTGTCTCCATCTCCAGCCTAATCCAAGCTCCCATCATTTCTCACCTAGATAACCACGGTGGCCTTTTAATTGGTTTCCCTTCTTTCACTCTTGCACCACATTCCGTTCTCTACAGAAACTTAGATCATGTGACTCCCCTGTTCAGAATCCTCCAAAGACTTCTCATTGAAGTTCGAATAAAATTCATACTCCTTACCATGGCTCCTGTTCATTCTCCATGGCTATGCTCTGCCTCCTGTCTACCTCTACAGCCTCATCTCAGGCCACTCTCAACCTCCTCACTCCCCTTTACCCACACTTGTCTTCTTTCACTTCCTCAAACATGCCAAACTCTTCCCTGCCACAGGGCCTTTGCACTTGCTATTTCCACTGCTTGAAACTCTTTCCCTCTATTCTTCACATGGTTGTCTCCTTCTGATCCTTTACTTCTCAGCTTAAATGCCCCTTCTCAATGAGGCTATCACTGAGAATCTTTTTAAAATTAGGTCCTATCCATTAGGATAGGTGCAGAAACCATGTCTATCTTGTTCACCATTGTAACCCTAGCACTGACTGACTGACTGACTGACTGAATGAATGAATGAATGAATGACTATGAGCTGGAGTGGCCAGGGAAGGCTACCTTGGAGAGGTAGAGTTTGAGGTGGGTTTTTGAAAAATGGGGAAGCACCGACAGCATTTTCATAATCAAGATGGAGAGAATTCTAGGTAGTAGTAGAAGTGAAGTTGCTGAATCCAAGCATAATTCTCGCACATTTGGGCAATGGTGGAAAATGGGAGCTGCCTGCAGTGGAAGGTGCTCATTAGGTAACACAGGCACAACAGGTTTGTTAGTTGGCTGAGGCATAATTATGTTGAGTCTTGAAGAATAGACTACTTCCCACCACCCCCACCCCCCAGTGTGGGCAATAAAAGCCATTGGAAATCCTGGAACAGGGTCATGGTTCAGTGTTTTAAGAAGGCTTTTCAAGGAGGAAGTTAGTGTAAAAGTTTATAGAAAGTAGTTCTTAAGCAGACCAGATCAGTCCTACTGGCTAAATGGCTATAGAGAAAAAAATATGAATACACATGAGTAAGAAAGGTTTTTTTTAGCTCCAAGACCACAGATTTGTTCAAACTATTTAGTGAGATGATTTGAGAAAAGAGGCAAGGATAAGAAATAGACCTAGATGGACTTTTGCTTCCTTTCCTCCAATTGATAGCTAATGGGCAAAAAAGGGCCATGGGAGATGAGGAGAAAATACATGAACTGTATATTCTGCTTTTGAATAAATGAGAGGTACATTATTAATAAAACTGATAAGTACTTTACAAAAGGTTTCAGGAGAGAAGCTGTCTGATTTACAAACTTCTGTTCTGAAATTTAGGTTGTTACACACTGGAATACACCATATATTGTACATGGAAATAGGCTAATTCATCCTCAGTGTTTGAAAGAAATGAAATGCATTAGGATTTAGCAAATTGTGAATTAGAATGTTGAAACTATTTTTGTACCCTTGTCAGGCAAGGCTCTGCATGAGCACACAACACTCCTTCCTGATTCTGCCCTTGGTTCATCTCTTTTCCCCTTCTCCAAACCATACCTCCCTCTTCTCTTGCAATCTACAACTTCCACATCCTTTAAAGCCTAGATCATCTAGCCAGCCTTCTCTGAAAACTCTACTTTCCTGGGGTACTACCTTTTCACAATTCTTAGAGCAATCAGAGTCTATAGTGTAACATTCAACTTGATAGTGTTCCATGTTTTTCATGAATGGTTTCATGAATGTCCTTTTCTGTCCACTCCCATTGGAACTGTATTATATAAGCATCTACCACAAGACTGGAACACACCATTAGGGGCTGGTAACAACTTGTAGAATTGCTTGACTAATTAACTGATAATATATGAGTTAGGGTTAGTAGCAAGATACAAAGTGTCCTGTGTCTGGTATAATATCTTAAAAAATCATAGAATGTTGCATTAAGAAGAGAGGCACCTCAGGGGAGGAGACAAGGCCAAGAGAGCTTCTATGCATTAGTCAAGGTCAGAGAGCTCGTTAAATGGCAGACCTTGAACTAGAACTCAGGTTTCTTGCTTCGGGTTCATGAAATCTGATAATATCATAGAAGTAAGTACCGCAGGCAAATACAGGGAGTTCTTTGGGTTTCCAGGTGCCACTCAGGCAGACAGGCCTTCCATTTGTTCCTTCTTTCTCTGAGTCAGAAAGAACCATCCCCAGCCTGCAGCCAGAGTTGCAGGCAAACAAATGATAAAGTAACATTGTTTTTTGGAAGGATCCCTTGGTTTTACTGAGGAGTCCCTCAAAGATAACTGGGCTTTCGAGGAGTCTATTTGGCTGAATTATAATATGTTATATAATTAACAAATACACCTAACTGTGTACTATTAAGATCAGACCCTTAATTTCTGAGACTGTTTCAATAGAATGTGTCCTCAATGTATTAACCTCACTGTTAGAAAAACATCCATTCCCAAAGCCCAGTTTAGCTACTCTCCACTCATTATTTCCATCAGGTAATTGTTGAGGCCCTGTAAGCACATTTCTTCTTTGAGCTTTAGTTTTCTAATTTTTGAAATGGGAATAATTACACTCTGATAGGATTCATTTTCTGAAACTTTCCAGCTTAGGCCTTTTTCTATTTTGGACGAAGCTACTTTTACTTTGTGCATTTTAGACCACCTAAATTATTCTGGGGGGAGAGGGTCCTTTTTCAACAAGAGTGACTCAGCCAGGAGAGTCTGAAACCCCTTTCCATGGCCGGGGGTGGGAGGATGTATTTAGTTCGAAAAATTAGATTCTAAAATCACCATTGCATTGATATTTTGGGGGTCTTAATTTAAATTCATCTTTAATTTAAATACAGTTTTAAAAGAGTATTAGATTGTATTTATTGAAAGAGAAGGGAACAAACATGAGTTGTGGAGGGTTGAACACCACTGTTACATGAATATTCAAAGAGGAGAGCACATGCCTCTTCTTACCTCTTTCTGTGTCGTAGAGGTACACGAACTTCTCCCACTTGTAGTGACCGAGCAGACTCAGAATGGCGCCCTTCAAGGCTGGGCGCATCTGGATGACAAACTGCACATCTGCATCAGTGGGGAAGCTGGGCGTCACAAAGGAAGTGTGCAGGGCCCCACAGAAGGAGGTCAGAGTGTTCATTGACATCTGGTCATAGAATCCAAAGATGGCATACACTCCTCTTGAGAACTGGGAGCAGACTGCAATGAGAAAGAGAGCAAGATATTTCAATAGCCCCACGGTCCCTTGCTGCAGCTTGTAGGGTTGGAAAGACATGGATAGTTAGGCTTTGGCTCTAAAGGACATGCCTCAAAGGAAAACCAAGATCTCTGAAATCTCTAGAAGCCCTTGAAAGCCCTTGAAAGTTGCTCAGCAAGAGAAGTGTAAGGAAGGGAAGAATTTATTTGATAGAGTTGCATGTTTTCTATGTCTACCATGAGCAAGAAACTAAGAAAATGTGGGAAGGAAAGAGGTGAAGATTGCCTTACCCTCTTTCTGCAACCCTCCCAGCTCGCCCACAAGGCATTTGGTGTTCTTGTACTTTCATCTTAGCTTCCCAGTGGTCTCTTCGTGTACCCATGCCCCCATCAAGGTACAACTGTCTTGTGTTCCACCCCTTCAGTGCTTTTTCCACTAGATGACAATAAGGACTGATGACTTAGACAAATTGCTAATGTGTCTGCTAGGAAATGTGTTACTCCTTTTAGGTTACATACTGCTTTAACAAAAGCTATGTCATGATTAAGACCCTTAATGGAGGCTACTAATGAAGATTTCAGATTCTGGGCAGGCCATTGGAAAGACTGGTCTTTCAGTGTCCAGGGAGTCACATGAGGTAGGTGTAACTGGCAAAGTTCTATTTTGCTCCTTTTGCATTTTCCTTCTAGATCTATCAGCTCACACATAGAACTTTTATGTCCTTCATTTCAAAGTGGGCCACATCACCACATTTTCCCTCTTCTGGCCCAGATGAGCTTAAAAAATGTGAACCAATTTCAATATTAGCTTAAGTAGAACATAATTAGCAAAGCAAATCAGCTACAACAACACCGTGTGGTGTATTCCCAAACCAAGTGGAAATGATCTTTAGATTATCTGCACTACTGCTCCCTTCCATTCATGCGAAGCAGACTGAACAGGCAGCTGATAATGTGGTGTGATTTAAGGAATTCTGCATGGTCTCCCTTATCTGCTAGGAAGCCACTGTTAGGCTTACTTCTTCAGGTTTAGGGTCTTGAAAAAAACTCTGTGATTTGGGAGGGGGATTAAATAGAATCTTTTAAAGCTGTTAGCATATTAAGATGAATTAATACATCTGGGACACCTGGGTGGCTCAGTGGGTTAAGCATCTGACTCTTGATTTTGGCTCAGGTCATGATCTCAGGGTCGTGAGATCAAGTCCCGTGGCAGGCTTTGCGCTGGGCGTGGAGCCTGCTTAAGATTTTCTCTCTCTCCCTCTCCTTCCCCCTCCTCTCTCTCTCTCTAAAAATAAAAATGAATTAATATGTCCTATGTCCAATTAGACACCAGGGAGCGTGTGTAAACAGATAGGTAAGTTTTGAGAGGGAAGGGTGAGTCAGAGAAGAGAATGTAAAGGGTCTGGAGTCTTTCCTGAGAGGAGAAACAGTGAAGGCACTGGGCACCAAAAAGAAGGAATGTGTTGAAAGTAGGAGGATGACAAGTGGAAAACCAATTTAATTCATTTCTTGACCCGATTGTGAGAAACAGAGAGTTCTCAGTATCTGTGGGATCTCGCTTTCCCTGCATTCTATTTAAACCTGTTATTGATCAGGGCTGTTCCCCTTTGCTAGCCAAACTCATTAGTCATTGGCTTAAGGGTAGCATTTCAAAGGGCATTCAGGCATCTCCATCAGGGAAGACCATAGCCTCCAACTTGAGGAATTCTAAGTGACCCCCAAACACAGGCATAAAAAAGGTCTTTATATTAAAAGGAGAAAACCAATTAGAGAAATGAATCTGGGGCACTTCATGACAGGGGGCCAAAAGAAGTATTCAGAAGCAAAAAGGAAGAAGCAGGATGCCACTTTGCCTTGGTTATCACCAAGGAAGATGCTAAGGAAGGTCAGTTCCCAAATTAATCCTGTAAATGGAGAGCTTTGCAGTACCAGGTCAGATCTTAGCTGGTGCGCATAATGTTCTATATAAAACTGACAATAATAATGATACTAGCCATTGAGTGCTTAGTATGTACCAGGCATTATGCTAAGTACTACACAAATATCCAATATTCCCAACAACTTCATGGTGTATTGCTAATATTTCTATTTAATAGATGAGAATTCTGAGACAAAAATGTTCTGTGTCTTGAGTGGAGGAGCCAGGATTTGAACTGAAGTCAATCTGACTCTAAAACTCATACTCCCTGGGACGCAAATCCAATAATGACATTAAAGAGTAGTTATTGGCCCAAATGAGATAGGGCAAGATTTAGCAAGTAAAATAGAGATTCTGTATGCCTCAAGTTCATACATATACTAAACAATTATTTGGGTTTTTTAAAAGATTTTCCTTATTTGTCAGAGAGAGAGTCAAGTAGAGGGAGAAGCAGGTACCCCGCTGAGCAAGGAGCTCGATTCGGGACTCGATCCCAGGACCCTGGGATCAGGATCCGAGCCAAAGGCAGACACTTAACTGACTGAGCCACCCAGGTGTCCCCAAGAATTATTTGTTGTTGACCTGAAATTCAAATTTAAGGATCATGTATTTTTTCTGGCAACAAGCAATCATGGCCCTTCAGCGAACATTATTCAGGAGGTAGTTGGTAATTCTTGGATCCATATCAACTAGCATGCAAGGCCCAAGATGAGGATCCATGAACCCCAGACAAATATAGTCTTGTGGGGGAAATGCAACATATTTCCAATGAGGAAAACCCCAATCTGACTAAATTATGGACAATAATTGAGGGGGAAATTAACTTGAAGAGAGGCAAACTTACAGCTGTGATCCACTTAGAATTTTAAAAAGCCCTTGACATTGGAAGGAAACAAAATAAAAGTATGTTATGGAAGTGAGATTCTGTTAATAAAAAAATCTTGCATTGCTCTTAGAATCATTGTTTTTGAAACAGGGGAGCAGAATTAATCATTACTAGGTCAGATATGGACTTTTCATACTTACGACATTTATTTATGAACACTAGTAATGAACACCCATAAAACCATCACCCAACCCCAAAACTATAACATGACTGAGAACTTATTTTTACCTTCGTCTTCCCCCTCTTTTCTATCCCCCTGTTTGGACATCCTCCTGGCCCTCTCTCCATAACTACTATCCTGAATTTTGTGTTTATAATTACCTTGGTCTTTTTAAAACACACACACACACCCCTAAGTGATATAATGTTATTTTTTTAAAAGATTTTATTTATTTATCTGACAGAGACACAGAGCGGGGCAGGGAGCCCAATGCGGGGCTCCATCCCAGGACCCCGGGATCATGACCTGAGCCGAAGGCACACGCTCAACGACTGAGCCACCCAGGCGCCCCTTGTTATTTTTGTTTTAAACCTTTATAAAAAGGGAATCATACTGCATATGTGAAAGCCAGACTCCAGGAAGGAACGCCTGGTGAAGTCCTTCAGCCTACGTATTATGGTAAACAGAATGACACAAAGGAAGACCTTATACAAATGTGTGAGTGAGCAGGTGTGAGGGAAGCCAGTTGTGGCTCATTTAAAGGGATTTAGAAGTATTACAGATCAGCAGTAGTCCTCAGAGAACCCTACTAGGCTACTGTGGTCCAACAGGCAGACACACGGTGGTGGACATCAACAAAAAGAATGGTAAGAGAAAATCAGTAAATGTTCTAGTCCCTTCATATAAAACAGAGGTGCAGCTGCTCTGCACATACAATTGTGCAGAGTTACCCTTGCTCTATCTCAACATATATAAGTAATGTAAGTAGAAAGCCCGATGGGGGGGATTAAAGAGTACACATAACATGATGAGCACTGAGTAATGTATAGAATTATTAAATCACTGTATTGTACCCCTGAAACTAATGTAGCACTGCATGTTAACTATACTGGAACTAAAATAAAAAACTTAATAACAAAGGAAAAGAAGGTCCAATGGGGAAGACAGGGTTAACCCCCTCTGAGAGAAGCCGGGGCACAGGGGACCTGTGAATGACCTCTCACAGCAGATCCCTGGGCCCATTCCTGGCTGTAGAAAGTAAGGCTGAATGGAACGCTGTGCTGACCAAAGGACAGTGTTCATGTCTTTAGACTCTGAGAAGGTTTGAGCTAGAAGGAACTAAAGACTATTTTATTCAGTGATTTTTTTTTAAGCATAGTTTTTCATGTGGAATCCTTTCTCCAAGTGAAATTTTATGTGGAAAAGTCCAATATATAAAAGGGATAAAGTAAAGCTCTTCTGATTCAACAGAGTTCCACTGGTGCCTCCCTGTCATAAAGAAACTGTGACACAAAGAGAGGAAGTGTCTTGCACAAGGTCACGCAATGAATTATGAACTAGTTTCTTAGAAAAGCTGTATCAGCATCTCTACACCATCCCTACTCTGGAGCTATGTAGGGCAGCATGGGTCAGGATTTGCCTGGCATGAAAGTGACTTGCCCTCAATGCCTAGCTCTCAGCATAGATGGCTCCACCAGGAGTTTCCCATGATTCATCTGCCTGCCACTGCTCTCACCTCCCTCCAGCCCCAAATACCAACAATGAGATCAGGTGACAGGTTGGTGATCTTTGGGACTCAGGATTCTCTTGGGTGATGTCTGTTCCCTTTATCTGAGTCCTTAATGAACCACACCCACTTGTTTATCTCAGAAGATGAGTCCTTGGTAAAATGATAATGGAAGAAATCATTATCTTGGCGATGATCTTCGGAAGCAGCAGCGAAGTACAGAAGAAAGGGCAGCAGTTTCTGGCAGACCTTGGTTTCAGTCACAGCCCTGCCAGTCTTAAACTGCATGGCTTTGTGGAAGTTACTTAACCTCTCTGAGCCAGTATAGGATAGTGATTACACAGGCAGGTTCTGCAGTTAGACTGTATAGTTTGAAATACTTAGGCGATCCCTTATTGGACATGTGACTTAATATCTCTGGGCCTCCAACCCAGTTTCTTCATCTGTGAAATTGGGATAATAATAGTTCCTGTCTCAGCATTGGCTGTGAAAGTTAAAATGAGTTTAGTCATGCGAAGCCATCTATAACAGTGCCTGGCACAAAACCGATACTCAATGCTAGCTCTTTATTCATGCAACGAATATTTACTGAGCATCTATTATGTGCC